GATGATGAATGGATGATGGATGGATGAACAGATGATGAATGGATGATGGATGTTGAATGAATGGATGATGGATGATGAATGGATGATAGATGTATGTGAGCTTAGAATGATCTTTTTAACGAGCAGGTGAAGACTTTTTAAAACTCGTCTTATATTTGACGTGAATCACCGCAGACACATGAAGTGAATTAACGACGAGTCGATGCTTCATCGTTCAGGACAGTTTTTATAAACAGCTTATTATTCGTTGCTTGTTTGTCTGAGGCTTTCTTTCTACTTTGTCTTTTTGTCTGCCTGTCATATGAAGTGTTGTCAGGGAGTGACAGACATTAAAGAATGCAGTATTTCATTTTTAGATGAATATTATGCCAAACTAAACAATTACATGAAAACTATGTATCTTTTATCTGTTTATTGTGTATGCTGTCACAGACGTAATTTATAAATCAAAAATATCTGCTTTTCCTCTTTTCATTGGTAAAATATACTAAATATAAGTGAATTAGAGTACAGGCTTGACAAAAGCTCATTTAAGTGCGTGTTATTTAAAGCCTTAATATTTCTAGAATTATGAGGGAAAAACTATTTAAGTTTGTGTTTTTAGTCTGAGTGCAACTAACTACAGAACACTGATTCTAGAGTTCTGGTTCTTAAAGTACTTTAGCTAGAAGGAATACATAACGTGGTATTTTATTGAATACTAGCTAAGTGGTTTGAAATAACAGGAAGCAAGATGGCAGCTCTCACCATCGATATTTGTTCCAGTGTTTCTCTACTTCAACGTGCAGAGCATTCTTGGCTTTAGCGCACGTGTCACGTCCTTTTTGTTCTTTATAATCTTCGTAACGAGATAAATTTGGCTTTAAGGGGTTGTTAAACTACGGATTGGATCAAAAGTCGTGGTGATTTTTGTATAAATTTAACCGATCAAATTCTATCAGTTAAAAATAGATCCATACATGTAGACAATCAATCAAACACAACCCCCCCGTGTACAAACAGTTTGAGTGGAAAGTAGATGTTAAGTGCCTTTGGGAGTTTCTAACATGTAATATCTGCATTAATGATGTATTGTTCTTGTAGCCGCTGAAGCAGGTGTACATGAACAACACGCTCACGTTGCAGCCTGTGCGTCGTACAGTTTATGAATTAATTTCAATAAGTGCAGTATAACCATCAAATGTATCGTTCGGGCTTGAATGTAACTGCTCGAAGAAAAAATAAAACGTGAATATTTCGTTGTTACGTTCACAAACGTGACTGGATAATACATCCTGCTGTTTGTCTGAGCTGGGCTCACATGTCAACACGATTTATAAAAAGATGTCGACAAGCTGTGTAAATGTGTGTATCGTTGTGCCGGCACCGTGGCAGCATCGTTCTGAGGACAGCTGAAAGACTTTTACAACTTGACATGTTGCGTTCATGTTTGATATGTTGTGTTCATGTTTGATATGTTGTGTTCATGTTTGGTATGTTGTGTTCATGTGAAAGTCCTGAGCAGAACACAGACGTCTGGTGTCCATTATTACATCATTTTCCTTTTTATCACATGGTTTTCAAAACTGTGAGAAGGTGGTGACTGACTTTGAAATGAGACTTTGAAAATGTATAATTCACTTTTAAAAAGGTCTTTGCAGTTTCTGTTTCATTGTAAAATAATTCCTGATGAATAAAATGATTGAACACGTTCTCCAGTTATTATTTTCTCCTTCGTGGGAACACTGTAGCTGATTCAGTGGAGCGTCGTCATTTTATGTTGTCGCCTCATGACCCTCAACTTTAAATGGGTTTAAACAGAATACTCAGAATTATTTATCTTAAATGGAAAACGTTACATTGGACTATAAACGTTTATTAGTGATCGACTTAACATTTAAATGTTAAATGGGGGAGGGGCACGGTGGCACAGTTGGCAGAGCTGCTGCCTCTCAGCGAGACGGTCGCCGGAACAAATCCTGGCCCAGGACTCTTCAGGGTGGAGTTTGCATGCTCCCTCCGTGCTGTGTGGGTTTTCTCCCACAGACCAAAAACATGCATGTTAGGCTGATTGGTAACTCTAAATTGTCCGAGAGTGAGAGAGTGAATGGTTGTTTATCTCGTTTGTCTCTATGTGTCCCTGTGGTGGACTGGAGATCTCTCGCACAGTGATTGCTGAATATGGGCACCAGTGACCCCTATGACCCAGAAAGGAAGAACTGGGCAAAGAGGATGGATGGATGGATGGATGGATGGATGGATGGATGGATGGATGGATGGATGGATGGATTGATGGATGGATGGATGGATGGATGGATGGATGGATGGATGGATGGATGGATGTTAAGTGGGTCTTCAAAAGTTATTAGTGATAGATGTACACCCATTTATTACTTTCTGAAGTGTCATTAAAATCTATACACTGGCTCATGAGATATTTTGCTAACAGACAAACTGTGTAATAGCTAACTCTTAATGGTTACCACACAGCATCTTAAAATCTATAACATTGGCTGAATTATAGACATATGTGAGCCCACCCGGGAGGTGAACGTGTGTTGAACGAAGTACCGTCACTACTTCGGACGATTCACAGCTGTTCCTACGGAGACGCTGGAAAGGTGGCGTTAAATGGAACTCCGTACCCGTGGAGACATCTTCTACAGGTAAAGAGTCGATTTCCACTACCTAAGTGTACCGAGGTGAAGCTGGGATCGAATGGAGAGTGCCGTTCTGATACAGACACATATTCCCTCATCCATCTTTCCCTCTCCATTTAAACTTCATTTCCCATCTTTAAAACTCTTCTATCTTGCCAGTAAATCATCCAGATATTTTCATAAATGTCTGTTGTAATTAAGCTGTGTTATTGCTTCAATCAGAATAATCACGTGTACAATGTTTGATGTTAAACTTTGATTCTGTTAATAAATGACCGCATTCATTTGATGGGTCAAAGAAAATTAACGTCTCACGTCACTGATCTCTGTCACATATCTGTCAAGTAGCTCGAAAAAGAGAGAACCCGTTTAAATTAAGTATAATATCAGGTACTTGAACTAGTCCAGATATTATAACATGTAGTGGAGCTCCGAAGCTAACGAAGCTAACCGAACTGTCTCACTCCAAAATGTACCAGTGGGAGAGTCTGCAAGAAGTTAACGATGTCCAGTTAACCAGTGAATACAGGGTGCAGTGATGGGTACGGTAGTTACAGCCAGTTGAGAATCTTAGTGCACCATGATAGACAGCTAGTTGATACAACAATGTTGAGTCAAGTCATCTGGATGATTTCTTTTTTTGTGCTGAGACGTTTCGTCCGTCGCAACGGACTTCTTCAATGTGAGGAACCACCAAACAAAACTGATTCTCCACCAACAGCAAACTCCACGGTGGAAAAACACCAGTTTGCTGGTGCTGAGATTGCCTCTGGGATACGCCCTCTCGCTCATCAACTCCTCTAAGACAGTCATGTCAAAGTGGTTCAAAACACCAAAGTCCATGCTCAATAATCCAGGTATAAAATCCACCAATGTTCAGTCAAGTCATCTGGATGGTCACTTTTTTGTGCTGAGACATTTTGTCCGTCATCCAACGGACTTCTTCAATCTGAGGAACCATCAAACAAAACTGATTCTGAACCACCGAACCATTTTATACCTGGATTATTGAACAATAACTTTAGAGCTAATTGATAGTTGTCTTTCTTGTTCCTTCACTTTTCTTTGCATAGTAGCAGGTTCACTTTTATATTTCCACCTGAACATCTGCTCTGAGACTTCCGTCATGTTTGTTAGCCTTCACAGACTACAGTCAGCCTAACGTACAGCGGTCCATCGTGTGAATCCACTGAAATCATATGGATTCACACGACTGCTTTCCTTCTTCATGAAGTGGACCAACATCTCAGAAAATATCTGGAAAACTACTCAAATAAACTCTTTCAAACAACTTCATTTGATTTAAAAAGGAAAACCTTTTTATGTTTTTTATATCTTGCAGAGAGTAGCATTAATAACTTGATATGTTTTGTCGGATAAAAATGTATTTTTTTAATTTTAGTTTAAATTTACATATTGTTCAGCTTGTGTT